ATTTTAATCGGTTAATTTCCACCCTTGGCAACCACCCATTAAAACCACAAGACCGAGAAACAGAAACAATCACTGATAAAACTAAGAAAGGTTTGTCACCAAACCGCAGCACATGCAGATGAAAAGCAGAGAGGTGGGACAGGCAGATGGATTCGCAGAGCAAAGGGACATTCAGCAGAAAATAGAGTTCATTGTAAAGAGCGCTGAAATTTGACCACTTTCTTACACCATAAACAAAAATAACTCGAAATGGTTTAAAGAAATCAAAGGATGTAAGACCTTTAACCCTAAAACTTCTGGAAGAAAATACAGGCAGTAAACTCCTTGATGCTGCTCTCAGCAGTATCTTTTTGGATGTTTCCTCGGGCAAGGGTAACAAAAGCAAAAATGAACGAATGGGACTACATCAAACTAAAACGTTTTTACACAGCGAAGATCATCAAAATCAAAGACAACCTACTAAATGGGAGATATTCGCAAATGGTACATACCCAGTAAGGGATTAATACCCAATTTATACATAAGGAACTCATACAACTTAACACCTCCCCGCCAGAAAAAACCAATCCAATTAAAAAACAGGCAGAGGACCTAAATAGACATTTCTCCAAAGAGGACATACGGATGGCCAACAGACATATGAAAAGATGCTCAACATTACTAAGGACCAGGGAAATGCAAGTTAAAACCATGAGATACCACCTCACACCTGTCAGAATGGCTATCATAAAAAAATCAACAAATAACAAGTGTTAGTGAGGATATGGAGACAAGGGAACCCCCCTACACTGTTGACGAGGCTGTAAATTAATGCAGCCACTATGGAAAACAGAATGGGACTCCTCAAAAATTAAAAAACTGAGCTGCCATTATGACCCAGCAATACCACTTCTGGGTATTTACCTGAAGAAAACAAAAACACTAATTTGAAAAGATACATGTACCCCTATGTTCACTGCAGCGTTATGTACAATTGCCAAGATATGGAAGCCACCTAAGTGTCCACTGATAGCTGAAGAGATAAAGATGCGGTACACAGCTATGATGGAATATTACTCGGCCATAAAAAGAATGACAGAACAGAATCATCCGTACAGAGAACAAGCTGACGGTTGCCAAAGTGTGTGTGTGGGGGGGGGGGGGCCATGGGTGAAAGAAAACACACACTCTGGTCTGATTACATTAAAAAGAGAGGGGGGGAAAAAAAGAACCTCGAATCTCCCAAATTCCACCTCTTCCTCATTCTGCTGAGACATGAAGGAGAAACTGAGTCAGAAAAGCTGAGACAGAGGCACAGGACTGAAAAAAGAAGGGTTAAGTGAAAGGGATGCAACCTCCCTTCCAGGCTCCCAGACTTTGTTGCAGTGATTACAATGCTGGTGCGGGAAGCTGAAGGCTCCTCGGGGCCTCTCCCGAAGCCCAAGCCCCGCCTCTGGACCCCATTGTTACTCACATCTAACACTGTCCAGACCCAGAGAAAACACCTGCAGTACAAATCAGAGAGATTAGAAGTAAATAGATATTTGTTAGGATGTCAATTCTCCTCCGTTTGATTTATAGATTCAAAATTGTTTTGATTAAAATCCCTTAAGTTTGTGTGCAGATACTGACAAGCTGATTCTGAAATATAGATGGAAAGGCAAAGGAAGAGCCAAAATAAATCCTTTTTAAAAAAAAAAAAGGCAAAAACAAAAACAACACGAAAATTCGAAGTTGGAAGACTCCCACTATCTAATTTCAGTGTGGCAGTAAAGGACAGACACACTGATCAATGGAACAGAAGAGAGAGCCAGAAAGAGACCCACACAAATAATGTCAACTGATCTTTAAAAACAGCTTTATTGAAGTGTACTTTACATGTGATAAAATCCCTTTGGTTTAAGTGTACAATGTGATTATTTCGTGTGTGTGAACTTAAGAGCTGTACAACCATCACTACAATCCAACTTTAGAACATTTCTAGCATTCTGTGCCCACCTGCAGTCACTCCCCATTCCCACCTCAGACAACCACCAACCTGCTTTGTCAGCAACTGACTTTTGATAAAAGTGTAATGACGATTCAAAGGATAGTCTTTTCAAGAATGATGCTTTATCGACTGGTTGTTCATATGTAAACATAAAGCTCGACACATCTCTCACATATTTTTAAAATTAGTTCAAAATGGGTCCAAGATCTAAACATAAAACTGTAATACTTTTCAGAACAGGAAATCTGTATGGCCTTGGAGGTTTAGTGATGAGCTTTTAGAAAACGGCATGAAAAGTGCAATCCATTAAAGAAAAAAACTAATAAATAAGACTATCAAAATTAAAAACTTTTGTTCTTTAAAAGTCACTTAAGAGAATGAAAAGACAAGCAAGAATGGGAGAAAATATTTGCCGAACACACATATCTGAAAGAGGACTTGTATTCAAAACATATACAAAACTCTTAAAACTAAACAATAAAACCCAATTTTTAGAATATGGGCCACAAATCTGAACAGACACTTCACGGAAGAAGATATACAGGTGGCAAATAAGACATGAAAAGATGACCAACATCCTTTTTCATTAGGGAAATGAATATTCTATCCACAATGAGATACCACTGCAACAGGAGCTGTCCACGCTGCTGCTGGCAATGCGAAACGGCACAGTCACTTTGGAAGACGGTTTGTTTTATATATTTTATAGTTTCCTATAAAATATATCATTACCCAACGACTCAGCACTCCCGCTCCTAGGCATTTATCCAAGCAAAACTACTTTTGTTCATATTAACAACCTGTACATGAATGTTAAATAACAACCTTAACACATCCATACAATGAAGTAGTCAGTCAGCAATGGAAAGAAATGAGCTACTGATTCGCACACAAATTTAAAATGCATTTTAGGGTGTAAAGAGGCCAGACTCAAAAGGCTAGAAATTGTACAAGTCTATTACTTATTATGACATTCTAAAAAGAAATATTATAGGAATGGAAAACAGATAAATGGGGTGGGGGGTTGAGTACAAAGGGGAATTCTTAGGGTGCTGTAACTGTTCTGAATAGTACTGAGATGGTGGACACGCAACTATGCATTAGTCAAAGCCTATACACAGTAAATTTTACTATATGAAACAATCAACTGGGACGTCAAAAGATCCCAGATGGAATGCAGTGCAACAAATGAATCTGTTTTACGAATGCATGACATAACCTCAATGTAGGGAGCGGTGAATAAAAGTTGAACTAAGTTACTTTGGAAAATGGTGTTTTTAGTGGATACTGTAAGTACTTAAACACCATCCTCTAGTTGGTCAATCCGATTTTCATAGGGGTACAGCTTAACTATTCTGAAATCACTTAATAAGCATTCTAGGGCTGAACAAATAAGCAAATAAATTATAGATAAAAAGAGCCAGGTCTCCCACTTTAAAAATTACAGAGAAGCAAAGAGGCAAAACCAGAATGACCCTTGTGGTAGATGAAAAGCCAGTTTAACTTGGTATACAACAGACAGACAGATCTAGAAATAATCACTGGGATGTACACCTATATACTGGTTAGTACACATATTTACATCTCTTAGCTCATTGTGTGTAAGCGGTAGCAACGAGCACACTCAATACCCAGATCTTGGTTTCTAAATACCATTCTCCAATAAAAATAACCAGGGATCCTTGGAGAAATAGCTCATTCCTGGGTCTTTCTCCAGATAATACTTGTACTGCTACAAAGTCTTAAGAAAAGAAAAGAAAAAAGAGAAGAGAAGAGAAGAGAAGAGAAAAGAAAAAAGAAAAGAAAAGAAAAGAAAAGAAGGCCTTAAAAAAAGAGATGAAGGTCTATCAGAAGGATTTAGCAGTAACCTCAAAGTGCTCCCACTGGCCAAAGCTGAAACAATTTGTACAACAAAATAACAATTGTATTGGATTTTAACCCAAAGTATAAAATAAATAGCCAAGATCAGACACTAATATAAGTAAATGATCAGATAAATAAACAGGAGAAAGGAACAAATAAATCTGTAAGAAAAATTCTAAATTATGTGTATAAATACTGCCTCCTCTCCTTGAATGTGGGCTAGACTTAGTGATTCACTTACAAAGAAAAGGTATGAAAAGCGGAAAAATGATACCTTTACAGTAGGAAAAAGAGGATAGCATAAGCCAATGAAATCATTTTAAACATCTGCCAAAACAAAATGGATAAAAATTCTTTCATAAATGTTCTTTGGCAAATAATAAAGTTTATATTTTAAATTTACCTTTCGTTGAACTAGATCAACACTTATAAAATTTAAAAGATGCATCTTTACATGAGTTAACGTATGAATGAAACAAAACCAAATTCATAAAGCAAAACAAAAAGCAGCCTTCATATTTTGCTAACAGCTCTAAAAATGCAGATTATCCCTCCCTAAAAGTATCAGAGGACTTCACCACCTTAAACCAATGAAAGAATAAACATTACTGGTAATGCCTGACATCACGTGCCCCACGATATGATACAGTGTGGAAGGGTTTATCACCTCTGTGTTATCCTCCCTGATAAAGCATCACCTCAAATAGTCACAAGAAAACATCAGACAAACCCAGTGAGGGACAGCCTACAAATTAACCAAGCATAGAGTCAAGGTCATGGTCATGAGACTGAGAAACTGTCACAGACTGGAGAAGATCAAGGAGGCATTAATGAGTAAATATGTACGATGTGGTATTCTGGCCTGGATCCTGAAACGGAAGAACATTAATGGATATATGGGTAAAACCCAAAGAAAGTGCGCAGTTAACAGTATTGTACTGATGTTAATTTCTGAGTTTTGACAGATGTGCCATAGTTTATATAAGGTGTTAATATTAGGGGAAGCTCAGGGAAGGGTATAGGGAACATCTCTAACTATATTTTAATTTTTCTGTAAACGTGAATTATAAAATAAAAAGTTTGTTTTAAAAAAAAACGTATAGGAAAGCTACAGCAGCACAGCTCTATTTAAAATTAAGGGGCTTACAGATTATATACATTGTCTCAGTAACTTGAGCAACACCACAGTTTATTTGTAAACATATTATATCTGTCAATAATCAAATTGACAACACTTTATACATTTCATTGTATAATATTAACATCATACCAGAAAACAACTCACTGTATATACAGTTTTGGTACTTTTAAAATCTTTTAAACACAAACTGTATTTGAAACACTGAACATAAAAGAGAAAGATGAATAGCAGAGACAACCGAAAACACTGAATAAAAGAAAATGATATTCCAAAAAAATACAAAATTTCTGATTACATATTTAAAAAGAAAGAAATCAAGGAACTCAGATGATCAAATACTTTTTAATGACAAATTTGCATTTCTTTAGACCTACTTGAGAGGTGAAACTGTATCATACTAAATTCTATGTCCTTTTTGATATTTTTCTCTTGGTTTCTAAGGAATGTTTGCCAGGATTTAAGCTACATTAAGGGGGGAGGGAAGTAAGGGGGTTCCAATAAGCCAATGAAATCACTTTAAAAATCTGCAAAAAAAAAAAAAAAACTGGATAAAAATTCTTTCATAAATGTTCTTTGGCAAATAATAAAGTTTATATTTTAAATTTACCTTTTGTTGAACTAGGTCAACACTTATAAAATTTAAAAGATGCATCTTTACATGAGTTAATGTATGAATGAAACAAAACCAAATTCATAAAGCAAAGCAAAAAGCAGCCTTCACATTTTGCTAACAGCTCTAAAAATGCAGATTATCCCTCCCTAAAAGTATCAGAGGTCTTCAGCTAGGAATCAGAATCTTTCCTCATTCACAGGAGAAACCAGAGTTGGCCACATGCTTTTTCAATACTTTCCCTAAAACGCATGATCATTATTAGGTTCTATTTCTTCCTTCATTCTCTCTCAAAGAAAAAAAAAACGTAGCAGCAAATCACTCCCATATTTTAAGTTTTAAATTCAGCAACGACTTGGTTCACTGCCAACAACTACAAATATTTGATTCTTTATTAGTGTACATGTCACTACAGTAGGCTTAGATTACTAACAGAGGAATAAATAAAATAACTACAGTTAATTCAAACAAAGCAAATGAAAATGAGATTAAGGAGCCCTGATCAAATGAAATACAACTTTCGGTTGAAAACTGTAAAAGTTGCATACATACCTAATAGCACTAGGAATGTACAATATCAATTATTGGAAAAATAAATGAGTGGTTCACAGTCATAAGAAATTATTTTAATATTAGTATTTTTCCTTTTATAGACAAACATTTATAGCATACAATTGGTTTCTACCTCTTCAAAGAGAAAGTGGAAAATTAAACGTTACTGCATTTACCTCAAACACAGCACGGACTGTGCCACAGGTATACTGCTCCAAAATATTCAACTCTATAGGTAGGTCATGGTGTTGAATGCATGGTCATGTTAACAGTTTTTTTAAAAAGGCATATATTTCCAGAAGTCTGTTAAATTTACAAATATCTGTTCTTTAAATAACAAAAATTGTCAGCAAAAATGTTTAAGTTAGAACATTCCCGAATTTTCTAATGTTTAAGTGTTTTAGATATATGTTGTTCGACGAGTTAGTGTGGTTACAGTTTTAAACTAGCAAACCATTATCCTATGAGAAGAGATAAACTAAACTATAACACTGCACAAACTTCCCAAGGTAACGTGAAAAATCTAAAAAGTGATTCCAATTATTCTAATTAACACGTGAGACACTAAAAGAATCAATGGCTCAAGAAACATTTCGAAATTATTCAATACTTCTTTATCATTTCCTCCAAAACTATCCATATAAATTTAAGACCCAAATTGCCTAAGAATGTGTCTTCAAAGTAGATTTTTCATTGAATTATTCTGATTGGAAGATACAGCCTTAATACTTCTATTATATAATTCTAACCTAAAATCACAATCCTTGGTTTGAAAACATCAAATTCAATTTCATAACAATTCATTGGTAAAACTACTGAACAAAAATAAATCACAATGAAAACATGCAGCAGCCACAGTTACAAGAGTGGAAAATAAATTCTATTTTTCCATAAAGACTCTATGAAAATATAAAGCCCAAAGTGACTGACAATGGAAGTCCACATATAAATGTTGTTTAAAAACAGGATATTTTCCAAAGCTTCTCATGAGATGTCAATGTATAGTCAGAGTCTGAGTTAAGACCTTACAAATCAAGGTTAAGTTATACATAACTATGCTGATTTACATACCTTCGACCATGTCCAAATGATAAACAAAATTTACAGACATCCACGGGAATTTTTAATGCCCCCTCCAATCGCCTCTCAGCAGTGGATGCTTATTGTTTTACAATTTTGCTACTTTAAGTACCAAGAAGCCTTTCAGAGGAAGAGTGCCACCTCTTCCCATGATCCTCTAAAGAGTAGGTAACAAAATATAAAATTAAATGAGATTTATGTTTCATAAACGAACATATAAAATTACCACTGCAATATTCATAGTGACTGCTTATAAACAGAATAGTCATCATAAAGCCTATAAAGTATATCCTCAGTTTTATAAAAGAAATACAGATTGTCTCAAGGTAAAAAATACAGTGCAGACTGCTAAAAAGCTCTTTGTTGCTTTAGGAGGGGCAATGATGAGGAAAACTTCCAAAACATGAACATATTCCCCCAACTTTTAACATGAGTTAAGCATGAATTGCACTGCAGCAGCAGGATGCTTTTTAGTGGCCGCCACTATAAAGCTAACGTTAAGAAAGAAAAAAGGCAGAGTGTGAGCAACAAATGGCGTAACCAAATTATTGCGAATGGAGATTAGCAATAACAAGTGAGGAAGGTGACCGTCCACTCCATTCTGATAAGATGCCATCTTTAAATATTAAGTTCTTTGCAGGAAGTGGAACTCCCAAATCGGCATAAGATGACTGTGAAAGCAAACTTGAAAAACTGGCCTCTGTATGAATGTCCAGTGTTGAAGCACCTTCCTGAAAGAACAAGAAACGAGAAAACTTCCATATTCAACACTTTACCAAACCCCTTAATATAGCTAATGAGAAATACAGACTTTGATTACCTGAGATATGTTTACAGAATACGTAGCACTATAGGAGAGGAAAGGACCTACCTCACAAACCCCAAATAATCAACGACAGGTATTAATATATGCAAAAGTGACTAATTCATGTCAGACTATGAGTGCTGTGAAATAAATAAGCTATGATTAAACTATCAGATAAGAAAAAGTTAATTCCCAGACAATCTGTAAAAACCCTCACACAACGTTGAGCACCAGAACAATCCATCAGTTCTCAGGGCTCGCAAATTCACAAATTCAGCACAGACCTCTCCCCAGAACTCCAGGTTCAAACATCCACCTCACATCTGCTCTTGGATGTTGCTCCATACGCGCCACACTTACCATGTCCACACTGAACTAATTTTCCCACATTTGATTCTCCCCAGCCTTCTCTACTCCCTGCATTGAGCTAGAGATATGAGAATCATCCTTGGTTCTTCCCTTGCCACACCCTCAACCTTTTCCTCACATTTAATTAATCACCAAGTTCTGGCATTCTACCTCCAACACGTATCCCAAATTAGTTTGCCCCACTCTGTCCATACTCTGAGCTGCCAGCCACCCTACTCTAAGCCAGTTGTCTCCGAAGTGGGGCACTCATTCCAATGTGGGGTATGGCATGACAAAAATTTTAGAAATCTTGTATCTCCTGTTTCCACTTATTACATCCTTTTAAAACTTCTATTTTTGTGTTTTATAATATACATAATTTATTGGTATAACAGTATGCATGTGTAAACAACAAACCTTTATTGTGGATACATCCAAAATTTGTTTTGTTTTGTTTTAATGAAAAAGAGTACTCAGTTACCAACACCTCTCACCTGGGCTATTACAAGAGTCTCCAAACTGACAGTCCCCAAGCTTCTGTGCTTGTCCGTTTTCAATCTATTCTCTAAACAGTAACTAATCTTTCAAACAATTAATTAGAAATAATGTCATTCCTCGTTTAAAAGTCTTCAATAGTTTTACATATTCTAGAAGGCCCTCCCCTCCCTTCTTGCACTACCCACCTTCATGAGGCTTCTGCCACACCACCCTTCTGTTTTCTTGTACACAAATGTTTCCCTGTCACAGGACCTTTGTATCTGCTAAGCTCTGCCTGGAGCACTCTTCTCCATCCTTTAGGTTTCGGCTTGTATATCATCTCTACCTATTTAAATTAGCCCCACCTTTAGATTCCACCAGATCTGAAGGAGTCTAGCTCCTTCGAATATTTACTGCAATCTGTAATTCCTTATGCATTTCAATGTGTGCTCGACCAGTGTCTCATACCACATGAGCTTCTTTAGCATCTTAGACATCACTGTTTCTGAGCACCTGGCCAAGGGTCTGGCACAGAGTAGACCCCAGTGTTTACTGAAAGAAATGAATGAAAGAGAACTCCAAAATATTGATTTCGTAATGTTGGATGAGATATTCTGAAAAGAAATATTTAGTTCTAAAGGTTTATCTACAAATCAAGTTAAGGATATCCTTTCTATGCTTGGCAGGGGGCTGGGGAGTGGGGTGGGAATGAATGGACGGACAGATGGGTACACAAGGTCCAGGGCACTAGCTCTCATTACCACAACAGAAAAGCCCTTCTCAGCAGTGCGACTCAATACAGTTATTCACGGAGTGCACCAGACTTAAGAACCAGCACCTAGGATGCTGCATGGCCCACAGCAGATGCTTAACACATCTGTTACATGCAGCACTGCAGAGAACAGAGAGTCCAAGCTTTAGACCCTGAAGATCTGGCCTGTGAAACCATGTGCAAGTCAATATACTTCTTAAATCTCAGCATCTTCATTTAAAAATTTAAATTAATGCTTATTTCATGTCTTACTGCTGTGAGGATTCAAAACTAATATGGAAGTGTTTTGTATACTATAAAGCTCTATACAAATACCATTTAAATATTTTGGGTTTTGTTACCTGGAATGAGTGAACAAAGTTAAGGACTTGTAGAGAGAGTTTTCTACTGGAATGTAAGAGGTTTTGAAGGCTGAAAAAAAAAAAGGAGTAGGGTTTTAGAACAAATATAATGACAAGAACTAATATCTCTTACAAGAGTTTAATTTTAGCAGTTTAAATGCATTTATACATGCGTATACATCCTAATCACATAAATAAAAATTTTAAATAATTTTAATGGTTCTCATCAATGAAATGTCTTGCCTCTGAATAATGTGGAGTAACAGTGCATAAAAAAACCATTTTGAAGTAAAACATCATGTATAACCAAAATTGAAAAATTATTGTTAAAGAAGTTTAAACTATTAGTGAATATAAATGTTAAATCAAAAAAAACCTTTTTGAATAAAAGTTTACATACTTTAAGAGATGGCAATTATGATATAAACTTCAAATTCTAAATATGAATTTTAAAATACACCCCAATAAAAAGTCTGACAAACTGAATATGTTTTAAGTATGTAAATTGGTAATAATTATAATAGCAATCTTGAGTACTTTTAATTTTTTGGTATAAGCTACATTAAGCAAATTAAATGAATTATTTATTATCCAACGTTGTATTCCCAAATAAATAAGTCAAAGATATCTGTGGATATCACCTCTCCAAGCCACCCCACTATGACAATCAAATTCAGTGATGCTCTTTTCTAACTCAGTCTCATAACCTTTATAATACTGCCTCTTAGCTGCTACTACCAATGGATCAGAGTTGGCATATGAGCTAAAACCTACGTTACCTCTATTAGTAATACATGTTCATTCGAGAAAATGTGAAAGTTGAAGAAAATTTAGAAAGTCGGCCATAATTCCACAAGACATAATCATCACCATTAATGTTAACATAACTTGAGTGTGTGTATGTTAAGACTAAGAGAAGTCCACAAGAGAAATTCTCTACAGACATTTACAGATTAAACTAGGTTCCTACTAGCAGCATTCCCGTTTTACTACACCCTCACCAAATCTGGGAAATTAAGCAAATGTAATTATAATTAACCAAAACACGTACCCAAAATGTTTACATGCCCAATCTCTGAGGTACTGAAGTTAATTTCTGAAAATATAGCAAAACTCTTAAACTAGCAACCTTTATTCAATCAACAAATATACACAGCAATTACTATGATCGTGTGTGAAATAAAAGAAAGAAAGACATAGCAACTATCACCGAGAGCTTAAAAGTCTCGCAGATGAAAAGGTGACAATGAATATGAACTCCCACCTCTCTTTCCTGCAAAGGCCATGTGTAGCAATTTTTCTACAAACTTTCCGGTTTAACTCAGAACTAAACAGTGGAATTCCGAAGCATAGCTCGAGAGGAACCCAATCTGCTTCTGCTGTGGCAACTACAAAAGGATAAATAAACTCATTAACCATGTGTATCTGTATTTACGTGTTAGGACCGACCAGGGCTTCTTAGATCCAGAGATTTTCACAGACTCCTCCCTCCCCCACTGACGCCCGGCAGTGGGTTTAGATGGGGAGAGCACTCAGGGGGAGGGGAGGCCAGTGAATCTCTGAAACAGGAAAACACATTTTTTTGAGTATGTACACGCTTCTGAGAAGGTCCTAGTTTTTATCACATGCTCAAAGTGGTCTTTCACTCAAACTGTAAGATACCTACAAGATGAGAAAATTAACCAAAATATTTAACAGAGAAAAATGAAACTTACATCATTATTCTCAGGTCACATTTTTATAATATTTTAATTATTATTCTAAATACATAAAAATGTTTCCTAGAAAATACTTATTAAAAGGTCCACTGGATAATAAGAGCAGACAAATGATATCCACATGACTTAGCAAAAGAGCTGAACCTCAGGAATTAGTCTAAAATTGCAAATAATTTTTAAAACCTTACCAGAGTTTTGCTTAGTTGCTGAATCTATAGCTGCTTCCTCAATGACCATTTCAAATGACTCTGTGCTCCCATTTACATCTGAGCCGGAAGCCAAATCAGGTTCCCCTTATAATTAAAGGATAGACACACCATTAGGATTCTAGTGCTTGGTATAAGCTGGCAATAAATCAGTCTTAACAGAAAGAGGACTATAGGCAACAGAAATGACAATGGAAAACAATGAATAGTCTTTAGCCTAAAGCAGTGGTCCTCAACTGGGAGGCAATTTTGTCCCTCAAGGGACATTAGGCAATGTCTGGAGACAGGTTTGGTCGTCATAAATGGGGACAGAAATGCTACAGCTATCTAGGTATAGCAAACATGCTACAGTGAACAGGACAGTCCCCACAACAAAGAATTATCCAGCTCAAAACATAAATAATGCTGAGGCTGTGAAACCCTGGCCTAAAGAAACGAGGATTCAAAGGCAGAGCACAAATTTAGACGTCCAGTTAGACCATTACTGAAGTCATTTGTGTCTCCATGGAAACAGTCAGTTGGATTAAATCGTTCCTCTTCAAAATGCTTTTTTGACTTCCCATCTCTCTCAGCACATAAGATCCTCCTAGAGCTTACTCATGTCTCTACTCTCATCTACTACTATCCAACAAATCCTTTCTTTTGGCCAAAACAAGCTACCCTATTCCCTGACACCCTCTGCCTGACAGGCTGCTACCCTCCAAACAAACAAGGATCATCTTTTGTGTAGTTAACTCTTCATATCTCACATTTCAATTCAAACTTTATCTTTGCTAAGAGGCCTTCTCTGACAGTGCAGCTGGGCTGAGATGCGCCTTCTCTGTCCTGCTTCAGCACTTGAATCAGACCCCACTGCAGTCTTTTAACACTGCACAGCAGGCTGACTCACTTGCTTTGTTGGGTATTATTCCTTAGGTCTTACAAATTTAAAGATCTCCAGCACCTAAGCAGATAGTCCATACATGTTTGTGGATGAATGAAGTAAAACATGGCAGATATAACAGACCTGCTTTGAAATTACTGCCTAACCCATAGACCTCTGCTCTGGAAAATGTTCCTGTGATGCTTGGCAGTCCACTGCTGGAAGTTACCCAAATCCTCTGGCCAAAAGTAAATGGACCAGGAGTGGACACTTAACTCAATGGGAGCCAACTCAGTCCACTGAATGGCTAGCAATCAACGTTTTCTCAGGGTTTTAAACTAAGAGGCTCGGGGAATATAGTCAATCAATGGTAGACACTTGAATTAAAAGGCTTCCTAGAATCATGGACCAGAGCCGCCACCGTGGCAACCAAAGCCACATACAAGCTAAAATGCATGACAGCAGAAATAATGAAAAGGTAATTTGAAAATAAAATTTTACATTAAAAAGAAAAAAAAGTAGTCTAAGGGAAATCAGCTGTTGTCAACATGCAGGATAAATTGGAGACAGAAAGAAGAAGGCTAAGCAGGAAATGACTGCAATAATACATGTTTAAAGGATCAGGGCTCAGACTATACTGGCAGTTATAGAAAATTAAAAAGAAGAGAAGGGGAGAAATGGATATGAGAGACATTTCTAAAGACTAATTCACAGAACTTGGAAACTAACTGGACAGAGTGGAAAATAAAATGATACAAAGGTACGATTTTAAGCCTAGGTAATGGAGACAATGGTGCCTTTGACAGAAAGAGAAAGGTTGGAAGAGAAAAACTGTTAATTCTATTTTGGAAACATTTTTACAAAGAAACTAAAATTCTGAAACCATCGTCCCATAAATTTAAAGCCTATAAAAACAGATACGACAACAAAGGGCTACAACCTAATAACAAATCTGCATTCCAACCCCAGGTCATCACCATTCCTTTAGTTATGCACTTAGTATTTTCTCCATTTCAATGACTAGTATTTGTTCAAATGATGTCACAGAGTATTTTCTCATCCTTCAGTGAAAAAACATTAAATCTTAAATAATTCGACATCCCTACAAAGGTCTCTTTGCTTTTTAAATATTAAGATCGTGATTGCCTCAATACCAATTACCCTAATTCAAAGAACTCAACTATTGGCTAACCTCTCTCATCAGAAGCATCACTGAGTTTTCTGTTTGCAAGTTGGCTCGAAGCATTCAACATGGTGATATATCCACAAAAATGCTGCAAGTCCACTTTGTTCCTCAATATCTGCAATGCTTTATGAACACCCATATTGACACGAGTAAACTCTAAGAACAAAGAGGTGACATCAAATTATAAGTGAATAGTTTTATAAAATAACACAACACAAAAAAGCTTTAAATATACTTTTATTAAACAATTCTTAGAACTACCTTTATACGTTAATCTATCGAGACTGATTCCACTGAAGAAGTATCTGTCAATGTAAAAGAAAGCTGTACACATACGACACGTGCATAGCCTTCAGGAGGTATTTGTTGTATCAGAACAAATTACCTCAGTGAGCAAAGACAGCCAGTCAGTGGCAAATTCTCCAGGCTTCTCTGTGGTTCTATTCTACCTCAAATGCTTACTTGGTGGGCTTCTTCTACCAGGAAATGTATTAAATACACATTATATATTTTTTTAAGAAAACCAAAATTACTCTTATTGAAACTATAGCTAACAACACTCTTGAAGTTATGTCCCTAATAAATTATTTAAATATTAACTCAAGTTCTAATATGTGAACTTATAAAAAAGAAAGATACTCTATACCCGATCTAAAGACTTCTCTTTTTTATAATTCACACAATAATCTCTCAAGGCAAGAGATCTACCAATCAGTTCTTGAGATTTTATAAATTTTAGTATCCTGTTGTCACTACTCTGTGTCTTCAGGTGAATGATTATTTTTTCCACAGAATTTATAAAGTGTCAGAGGATTATAATAGCAAACTTCATTTGCAAAGAACTACTTATTTCTCAAGAATGGCTATTTTTTGGAAGAGAAAACTCTCTTCTCCAAATTTTGTACACATTTACTTACAACGGCCAAAAGAGAGCACTTTATTTCAAACCATGTGAATAGAAAAAATACATTTATAAAAATCTTCTTCCTTTTTCCTACTTTGGGGGTGGGGCAGTGGTGAAAAACATTCTGAAAGAACAGTAAGTTCTTGTATGAATTAACGTTAAGTCAAATTACTTGAACCATTCACTGCCCTCTTGAAATTCAAGCAATACGGCTCTAAAACTTAGAAAAAGAAATTAGACAGAAGTTTTGCATAGAGCAAGAAACACAAGCGCTATACAAATATGTTAAGTTTTAATCAGATTGTATTTTTCTTTTAAATATACATACTTTCTTAACATTCAAAAGAAAAAAAGTATTTTCTATATTAGAAAAAAGGAAGAATGAATTCATTTTTACAGAAATTCGCTGAGCATCTTTCATCAAATACTGTTAGTGCTTTCCCCCCTTGATTTTAACTAGCTTAATCTGCAATCCACTCAAATCCTCTAAGGCAAAAGTAAAATTTAATAGCAAAAACAAACGCTGAAATCGGGAAATACATGCAAGTGCTCTGTAAACTGTGAAGTAGTATACAAACATTCATTAGCACCCATTTCTAAATTACCTAAAAAAGCCCCTGAAAGAAAACCAGTATGTAATATTGGGAGAAAAGAAAAATAAATCAACTTTCATGTGACTTGTCATGTCCAAATAAACAAACAATAAAAAGAAACTAAAAGGCTAAACGTACAGAAAACCCAGTCTTCCACCTACACAGACACTACTTACTCTCTTCATCTCCAAGACAGACCAGCATCCCTTCAAAGGCGCTGAGTCTTACTCTACTAGTTCTGTGGGGAAAGGCATGTGATAGAAAACTACCTTTTGCCAATACTCTTTAATAGAACTTCAACATTTTAAGCACTCACTCCTTACTATGTTTTCCACCAAAATGTTGACAAAGTTTAACGATAAAGAGGTTAGTTAGTTAAAAGGATACAAATCAGCAGTGACGTACCTCCTTGTAGCTCTGTCTCATCAAATGGAAACGGTATGTGGACAGTTTCTCCTATCCCATGCAAACCATGTCCCTAAACACGAGGAAACACAAGTTGAAAGGTATATGAGAAACCTACATTTCCAATAATAGCTATTCAAATAATAAATATGATTGTGCCACATGATGGTATATTCCACATTAATACTCCATCAAAACGCTTTCAATAATTTTCTATTTTTCTCCAGCAAATAATCTTAAGTATATATTAAACTATTGCAATGTGTCTCAAATTGAATGTACAGGCTAATGAAAAACAAGAGGCTGATTTAACAGGTGTGATCAGGTGTTAGCCAAGTGGCGACCGAATGAGATCAAGTGCACTGGCACATGGGTTGGCTATAATTCTGAGAGAAAAGCGGTGTAAGAATTCCCATAATTACCTGGCACACCATGGACTGGCGCGCAAAATTCAAAAATCTGCACTTCATGATATATGTTCAAAATTACTTGCTGTAACACTATAATTATATATATCATTGCAAGCAACCAAAGTGCCTGTCAACAGGAGACTGGTTAAATGAGTTAATGTATGTACTTTCAATGCAGCTGCAAATAAGAGGAAGCTCTCTTCAAACTGAGATGGAAGATCTCCATTGCTAAGAGGAAAAAGCACGGGGCATGTCAGTGTGTAATCGCACGAATGTGCGTGAAGAAACTCCAGAAGGGAACAGCGGGAACTAGTAAATGTGGTTATTTGATTTGGAGAGAGACGGAGAGTGGGAACTGGGTAGAGCGTGTCTGAGGAGCAGAGATACTTTCCCCGTGCTTCTTTTATTAGCAATTCGTTTCTGAATCATGCGAATACACTATCAACTCAAAAATTAAATTAAAAACCTGAGTATAACCACCCTATTCCTATGTTACAAATAATAATTTAGTTTTATCCAGTACATTCAGGTTGTTCATTTGAATTTTGTTAGTTAAAAACTTTTTTATTTGTTTAATCCCTAAATTTGTTTTGGTTTAACAGTTATATAAGAAAAATAAGCATGAAGAATTATCTATTCACATGTAGTTTCATTATAATAGAAATTTAACTTAACATTGGGGATCTATACATTTTTTTCTTTTAATAGAGATTTATACATCATTCAAATTCAAGATACTGATATAAAAGAAAAAAGTTTCAGAGAAAAATCACTCATTTAGTTGGTTCATATAACAACTTGAATATATTCTGACATCCACTTCTATTCCATTGAAGCCTTTATGATTTAAGCTCTAAACAAGATGGTTACGATAAAAGTATGGTTTCAATCACAATCTTAACTTTGTTATGTTTTAACTTCCAGCAAGGTGAATTTTTTCCAGAGAATTTAATGAAGGAGGCATTCTTTTTTAGTAAAAGTAAAACTCCTTAACGAACTCTCTAAATCTCTCTCCCTCCTACCTCCACTACAACACGAATGTATTTTGAGATCTTATGTGCTAAACACAGGACTAAGCATTCTATGTAGATTACCCATCTCAGTCATTCTTTTCAGCAACCTTATAAGGATAGCAATTTTTATTATCTCCAGTTTGCAGGTGAGGTCAATGAAGTTCCGAATGCCCAAGATTACCAGTAATGGTAGATTCAAGATTTGAACTTAGGCAGTCTGACTCAAGTCCATGTCTAACCCTTTCTCGTACATTATCTCCTACCACTACCCCTACTCCATGTTTTCTCTGAGGGCTAAGGCACCTCCCTCTCCCATGGTTTCAACTACTGTCACATGCTGATGCTGACACTCAAGTCAGTCTCTCCTATTCAACCTCTCATTTGACTTTCAAGATATTTTTGATTACCTACTAGATATCTCTACCACCCAAATGTCACATAGGCACCTTTGTACTCAATGTGCCCACAACACAACACGTCATCTGCCCCCATAAACTGGCTGTTCCTCTGGTATTCTCTCAAGTTGTGATGTCACCATTCCCACGCCTTCCAGGAATCATTCTTTTCCTCTTCCATATCCTTTTGCAAACATCTGATCAATTCTGTTAATTTTATATTTGTAATAATTCTTAAATCTGTTTCTTCTCTTCAATTCTTATGATCATTTCCCCGATCTAAGCTGTCCTCATCTCTTACCTGGACTCCTATACTGAACTCTGATTGGTCCTCTTGCTTCAGGTATCTTCCCCACCCAATCATTCTCAATGCAGTCACCAGACTGATCTTCCCATAACACAACAGATCATGTTAACTCCCTGCTGAGCACCCTCTACAGGCTGCCACCAAACTACAGGGTAGAGTCTAAGCTCTATAGCAGGACAGTTAAGGCACATCACACTCGAGGGCCCACCTACAGGCAAAACACTCACTGAACAACTACTGTGAGCCAGGCACTGTCCCAGGCACCAGGGAAATAGCCGTGAAGCAAAAGAAAAAAGTCTCTGTCCAGAGATTTATTTATATTGACCCATCTGCCTAGGACTGGCTCACTCCTAAATCATCCTTTTATAACTCAGCCAAGCCTTGTTTTCTCTAAGGAGCTGCCCCTGAGTCTTCCTCCTTGCCCCAAGGCTGGACTTGTCTTTAATGCCCGCACTGTATACGATTCTATTCAACACTCAGCAAAAACCTGGAACTGACTGTTGATGCAACTCTTCCCACCAGACTTAAGCTCCCTGAATGCAGGGAACATGTCTTATTTGTATATCTACATTAATCAGCATGGAACATGGCACGTACAATTGTTAGTTGACTAAATTAATGAAATCTCTACTAAGAACCTATCATGTGCCAGAAAGTGTGCTGCGCACTTCACACGTGCATTCTCATTTCACTCCCTCGACAATCCTGCAGCTATAAATTGCTCACCTCACCATTAGCTATTACTATTATTATTTTTTTTTGTTATTATACAGTAGATATTACCTAAATATAAGAGGAGTAACTCCTAAATGACACACAGCTAAAGAGGCACATGAAAAGAGGCTCGATATCATCAGTCATCAGGAAAATACAAATCAAAACCATAGTGAGATTACATCTTCACACCCGCTAGGGCAGTTATAATTAGAAAAAAAGTCATCTAATACCAAGTGCTGGTAGGAATGTAAAATGGTGCGGCCACTTTGAAAACAGCCTGGAAGTTCCTCGAATAATTAAACATAGAGTTACCAAATGACCTAGTATTTCCACTCCTAGCCATATGCCCAAGAGTAAAACACAAAAACCTATATACAAATGTTTGCAACAGTGATTACTACTCACAACAGCCAAAAGGTGGAAAGAACTCAAATGTCCATCAACAATGAACAGATAGATAAAAAGTGGTATATTCATTCTAGGGACTCTTTGGCCATAAAATGGGATGCGGTGCTAATACATGCTACAACATGATGAAGCTTAAAAACATTCTCCTAAGTAACAGAGGCCAGTCACAAAAGACCACATATTATGTAATTCCATGGATATGAAATGCCCAGAATAGACATTCTAGAGAGACGGCAAGTAGATGAGTGTTCCTTCGGGCTGAGGGGGTGGGGAGGAAGGGCACTGAGAACTGAAGGCGCTGGATTTCTTTCTGAGGTGATGAAAATGCTCTAAAATTGAGTATGGTGACAGCTGTAGAGCTCTGTGACTATACTGAAAACCACTAAATTGTACAATTTAAATTGATTAATTACATGCTATGTGAATTATATCTAAATAAAGCTATTCCTAAAAGTAAAAAAATAAAAAAATACGGTCACACAAGGAGCACAGGTAAAGCCAGAACTCAAAGCTGGGTGTTTCTACCACTCCCACACTGCCAGACAAGGGCCCGGACGAAACCCAGATCTGACTCCTCACGTTTCGGCTTTCCAAATTTCAAACTACTGACATCTGACTGCAACTCAGCGGAAAGCTAGACAAATTATGATCTTTAAAATGAAAATCCACATGGACAATAGACTAGTGGTTACCAGAGAGGGGGAGGAGGGAGTTAGATGGGGTAAAGGGGGTCAAATATGTGATGACAGAAAGAAATCTAACTATGGGAGGTGAACACAGTGTAAATATATATATGTCTTACTGTTAAAGTGTACAGCTGAAACTTAGTCGATTTCATTTACCAATGTCACCATAAAGTAAATAAATACATTTAAATAAAGTATAAAAAAAAGAAATAATAAAAAATAAAATGAAAATCCAAAACTGATTGTTTTAAATAGAGTAACTGTACCTGAATCAAAACCGCAGAATGTGTTAAAGCATCATTCAACATTGTGAGCACATTTGACGTAGGAACCACCCCAGGATCATGACCCCAAGACGTTATTAGTAATCGATCATAACCCTATGGGGAAGAAATGAATAAAAGATGAGATGAAATTTAGAAAAAAAGAAAATAAATTGAGAAAGTTACCCATAATACTTTTTACCATTTCTACTCTCCTCAAAAAAAATTAAACAAACAGAAAGACCTGACACAACATACCTGGAATATCTCTGGCAGTTTACGCAGTCTTGTACCTTTGGACAGTAAAAGAGATGGTGGTCCCTGTCCAGTGATATGGTAGATGTACAGTTTAAACCACACAGAACTGACTTCTGGGATAGCTGGTCCAATATGCTGTAATCATAAAACAGGTAAGGTAAAGTTGGAATACTCATCTAAGGAAGCCAAGTTTCACAACTGACCAAGTACAGTCCTATAAACAACCAATGCTTCATATAAATGTTAACTGCTATTAGCTTATAAAAATAAATTTTAAATGCTCCGTATCGATTTTATATTGGAACTGAGAAAGAACATACTATCACTGCGATTAAGAGAATGGACTGTGAAATAGACCACCAAGGTTGGAATACTGGATTCATCCCCTCAGCAATATCACCTTAAGAATGTTACTAAAGCTCTCTGTTCCTCATTTTTGCTCTTTTGTAAGGTGTCAATAAAATCTCTACCTCACAGGGATGTAGTAAGGTTGTTCAAGAAAAGTTTAAAATAGTGCCTGGCATACAACAGTAAGATTCATATCAAAGTGTTCATTATTATTATTAATCACATGCTATGTCTCACAAAAGGGGCTATCTTTCCATTCATTTAAAGTTCATGAATTCCTACTACGCCTAGTGGTTCTGTTAAAGAATAAGGGAAGTGTGTAGTGGAGTGGAATTGGAGGAAGCACACAAAGAATTATTTAAAAGGTTGGTAAATACACTCCTGTCAAACAGAGGACAAATTTGGGGGAGAGAGTATGCTCGCTGAGGCAGCTAGATCGGCACAGACAACAAAATCAACCTTGTACAAGAAGCCCTTCCTTTCTTCTACACCATTAAACCTGCACGTCTAGGAAACCAGGCAGGAGGTGATGCTGAAAAAGAGCAACATAATCCCCACTCTGAAAATGGCACAGGCTACAACGTCCTTGCTAAGTATACAAGTCAACGCAACTGATTTATTTTCAAAGTACAAAACCAGAAGTCATTTTCACAATTTTAAAGAACACAGTCTTTTCAGTTTATTTAGCACCATCGCCCCACTTCTAAAACATTTTATATTTTTCCTAATTAAATTGATTTTATCCCTCAAAGCAATCCAGGCTTCCTCCTTAGGGCATCCAAAAATGCTATCTTTAAAATATTGCATTCGTGAGGAAAATTTTAATCTCCTGTGTCATAAGTCACAAGATGATACATAAATAAAATGTACCAATCATACCTCACAAATTGAACATAACACCTTACAACAACGATTTTATATTTCGCATCTGCAAATTGAGAATTAACACAATAAACTGGTAAACCTCTTCTTCGAGTTGCCCCAAGGAGGGAGAAAATCACAGCACCAGCCGCCTTCCACGTGGGTCTTTACCTGAGGAGTGCAGCTGCTGACAGGCCGAATCTCATTGGTGAGGGGAGCCATGGAGACGAGCAGCGAGTAATTTTTGTTTAGAACTCTGCTGCAAGTCGCAGGATCCAAACCGAGGAGGCTTTCGCAGCGCAGGAGATCCAGAGGAAAACCTGAATTATGACCAAGCACACACACAGAATGAAAGACTGGCAATGGGAAACAAAAATGTCTAAGGCAAAATACTAATATTTACCTTTAGATTTAAAAAAATTTTTAAATGTAGATTATCTCTACTAACAGTGTCCAATTTCCTAAAGGATCTCTAAGAAGACACTTTTAACATTTAAAGCTAATAATCTTTATTCCCTGGTCTAAAAGGATAACTGTCTAATGGTATTTCCTTAGGCTACTTAAACAAATTAACACTCCAACCTTTTATCAGATTTAAATAATACAAATGTCAGTGGCACGTAAGAGAAGAGAAAAAATAAAATAAGGTAAGAAACAGTTGATAAGCAATGGAATTCACAAAACAAGCCTCTAGTTAGAAATTCGATATGCTATCTACAGAAAACGTATTAAATAAGTGATAGTCAAATAAGTGAGCATGACCTGTTTAATTTCTTAGAAAGAAGTTCCATAGGATCATGTCTTCAAAATCAAGTATATTTATCATACCATAATTGGGTTGGTCTGGTTGTGCAGTTTGTGCAACTAGATCTTTATTATGACGAAGAAACAGTATTGTGTTTCTCAGAGTAAGTGCATGGTCAAAATATCTCTGTGCTTCTCCTTCACCAGTGCTCTGAACCTAAACCAAGAGAAAATAAATTGTGCGAAATACCATAATCATGCCATTCATCCTACTATATAACCATACAGTAGTTATTAAAATATTAAAAATCAGTAAATCAGAAATTTGCCCAGGCAATACTGACACAAATATTAACTTCAATTTCAGATGAGTTTCCTTGAAGATGATAGAAATTACCCCAAGTAAAACAATTTTAATAACCAAATAATGCTAAATCATACCATTATATATGTCCCATGTATGATTCAAATGAGGTGCTTAAAAACTCTAAGATCTATATTCTGCTTCATCCAGAAATTACTTCAATCCACTGTTACCAATTATGCCTCTAATTTTCATCAACCTGCTCACAACTTTGTACTACTGGTTGCAAGTGAAAATGGAGTTTGAGTCAACATAGCTGTTCACCACAGCTTAAACTCATCCAACAAGGATTCACTGAGTCCCTATCATGTCCTATAATCTGTCCAGAATGTAAGGATAGAGTATTGAACAAAACCCCTGACTTTACTGGACTTAACATTTTAATGCATACTCTTCTGACCCTGAGTCAGTCACCTGTTTAATACATAAAAACAGACATCCCAGACACAACACAGAAAATGGAAGGACAGGTCTATAAGGGGAAGTAACTAAAATAGTTCTGCATTAAATTAATAAGATCAATTAAGTTTTATCAGGATGAGGCTTCTTAAACAGCTAAGAAACTATTTTTAAAAACAAAACTTCAGACTAAATGGCTCTCTTAAGAATGACTATGTGGTTTAAAAAAAAATAGAGATATATAAAGAGCAAAAGTAACCTTCTAACTTGCTGTATTTGATAAAAGACTAGCTGAGGTGAGAAAAATAAAAATCAGGAAAACAGAACTTAAAGTGTACTAGAAAAGAAAAAATAACGTAATAAAAAAAATTATTGGCAAAAGATGATACAAATAAGAAATAGAATTAACAAGATATTAAAAGTACTGAGGAAATAATGGAAATTTAAAAGTGAAAGCGACCAATTAGTAAAATAACGTAATAAAAAAAATTATTGGAAAAAGATGATACAAATAAGAAATAGAATTAACAAGATATTAAAAGTACTGAGGAAATAATGGAAATTTAAAAGTGAAAGCGACCAATTAGTAAAAAGGATTATCTCAAATATATTTCTACCCTAAAAAAATAAAAGTCCTACAGAGAAGTAGCAATGAAAAAATGTTATGGTAAGTCTTTTTGTAAGATATAAAGGAATTACAAAATCAGCAAAAATTCTCTAAACAGCACATTTAATACACAAGAGTTCATCATTAAAGCATAAAAGGTAACAAAAGGTCAAAGAAGAGATTAGGCACACAAACCATTTGCATAAAGAGCGGACAGAATAAAATATCCAGGGAAATTTTTTGGTGAAAAACACCAAATGGGCAACCAGGGTTAAGAGAAATAAGGGCTGTCGTCATGGGGAAAAGGTGGTTAAGAGCAAATATGGCTCAAGTCTTCAAGATGCTAAAAGGGATCATGAAAATGGACATATAAATATGATATCCAGGGACACTGTTCCAGATTTAAGATACGTGGAACAAAAATGTTTAATAAAACTGTTTAAATGGGGATCTTAGAGTCATACCAAAAAATATAAAATAAAAATTGAAGGCTGTTTTGGAAAAATGCAGTTTAAAAAATTACTTGAGATTTCTATACTCCATTTCTTCATTACATCCAATTATGCTGAGTTAGAGGAGATAGACAAATCATTTTTAAAATCACGAAATTCATTCATCCACTCAATATGTTTAAGTTTAAATGACTGCCACAGTATTCATATGAGGAATAATGTAGGAACGAGCAAGAATATACCAAAAATCTACATAATCCGTAACTGATATTTTTTCAAGGTTCCAGATGTCCTGACATCCCATAATAAGCAATCTAGACTTACCTTTTCTAGTTCTATAAGAAAGCTGTCCAAAGACTCATCTGAGAGTTTGCCAACTTCAAACATTGTGACCGCATGGCTTTTCAAGTTCTGTAATAAAGAAACAAAAACAAAAAAATTAAAATGTATCTTAATAACTACACTCATCATTTAAGTTCTAGTTTTCCCTTTTCATGCTAAGCATAGCATCTTACATTTATATTACACTTCCCAATATATGTAAACCTAAGGGTAGGTGAGGCAAGGGGCTGATCTTCTAACTACAAAAGGAGCCCTCACTAAAAAGTTACAATACTCCCCTTAGGAATATATAAAACAAAACCAGTTGTGTTTTCAGGAATAAATCTAGTACCTAATTTGACTTACTGGTGAAAGATTTCCCATCATTAAAAAGGCAGTGAGAGTTGAGTCAAATAGGAATGCAATACGCTTTGTATATCCTGTAGACAAACTCAAACTGTTTACACTGGCTGTGTCAGCTGAAAAAAGAAAATCATACTTTAAAATCAAGTAAATGAAAATAATTTTTCACTTATTATTTAGAATGAGAAAGTGTTTCATTTTGGCTTTATTAAATAACGAGGAAGTACCAAAAGCAACGGTGTCACCATAACAGGTCCCAAGTCCTATCCATCTCCAACAGAGAAAGTTTTAAAAAAATTAAGGCACTCACATTTGTAAGTAAATTCCTTAAAAACTAATTATAAACCAAGACTTGATCATTGTCAGATCAATAAGACTAACTAGCCTAACCTCTTCAGACAAGTCGCCCGGCTACCTGGAGAAGGAATGAGAACCACTCTGTGCTCCTCTCCCAACTTAACATGAAACCATGGCAACGACCACTATGCTTTACTTCCCTTTGCGCTCAGCCCATGTTATGGCCTCCCCTCACTCACCAGCTAGCAAGCTCTTCCTCTTTCTTGGCCCAAATATCTCCATGAAGGTTTCCTGAACCTCTCTGGGCAATAAGGGGGCTCTTCCTTTTTGCTCCCCACAAGCTCTGTAACACTTCTCACATTGTTGTGGTTTTTGTGATTATGCTGCTTCCTCTCTCCCTACACTTAATTCTTCGAAAGAAGGTACCATAATCTTGTCAATTTCATGCCCTTAAGACCTAGCACAGTGCCCAACATATTGATAAGTATTCAAAGGCTGCATGTTGAATGAATGAAATCTAGAACAAAACTATAAAATAAGTCTAAAGAGTTCACTCTATGAGTGTATATTAAGACACAGGCCACATCTACAGAGAAACTCCAAATTAAACTGAGTAACTGCTAACCTGGATCTTCCTGACTGTTTGTATCAGTGTCAGTAGCCGACGAAGCTTCTTGTACAGGACTCCTGCTTTCCCCGCCATCCCATGACAGGAGCATCTTTTGTGGATCTAAAGTACTCCTATTAATAAAGAAATCATTCCCTTTTTAGAAATCATATAAATGACCTTATATAAAAGCAACTACTGAAATTAGCACTTAAATTATAACCATCCAAACCCAGTCATAGTCAAGCCTGAAACCGAGATGTAGCCCACATGCAGCAAGGCTTCTTAACCAAGACCGTGGCCAGGCGTCAGGGATTTAAGAACGCTTCAAAGTTACATGTGATATTGTAAATGTTTTTTTCTAGGGAGAGGGTTCTTAGTTTTCATCAGATTCTAACAAAGATTCATCACATACAAGATCAAAAACCACTATTATATAAGGTTCACTTCAAATGACAGGGTGAATAAGCACAATTTTTCTAAGTGAAACTAGTTTTTTTCAAAAGGAAACTCTAAAAGCTCATAATAAATAAATGAGTTACTTTAATCTGTTTATGGATGGAACATTTCTCCACGACGAATGCAGTTGATCCAAATTTATTACTTGTCCCTTCTTATGGGCAAAGCCCAATCGGCAATACATTGAAACAGCATTCTGCAAGGAATATAAGAGAAATGAGCAATTAAAATAAACGAGACATCAGAATCTTTGTAGAGATAAAATATTATAGACTATGCCTATAGCGATCCTGAAACATTTTCGGCCCATAAGTAGAAAAAACCATTTCAATAGGCAGACTCTTCCCCTAAGGTCCTCAGATCGTGAGAGAGGGAATGCTTCTATGTGTAGATTTTTAAAACATGTGTAGATTTTAAAACATCCAGTTCTCCGCCTGGCCCTCCAGAGGGCTAGCCCCGGTGGAGCAGAGCCTGCTGCTCTAACTGACCTCATTACGAGACATCCACCAGCCTGCTTCCAGCTCTGCACAGCAGTGTGAGTGCTCCCTTTCACTTTGTGGGGTGGAATCCTGATTGAAGGCCTTTACCTTGCTCTTTCCTGTCTTGTAAGCACCCCTTTACTACACACACTTCCTCTGACAGCTAATGAGAATCTCACCACCTCTGTTTCTCAGTAGCTTATCAAGACAAAAACCTATAAAAAAATCCATTCAGTAATTACATTATAAGAGTATAAAAATACCTACCTTCACCAGAGATAAGTCTATCTCAAGGACATTTGCAAGCTAGAAAGGAAAATAAAAAATTGTTTTACATTCTTAGTTATCGCAGTTGCAGCAGACACTTTAACCATAATCAGCAAAATTTTTAAATTATGAATAATTGAAAGACTAAATAAACTCTGAAATCAGAACTGTTTTTTTCTATATCTCTAAGATACTGATAGTAGTACAAATCTAGGTAGTGACCTTAACTTAAAATGTTGATTTCTTACTCTTTGATTTTGTCTAATTTAAAATAAGAAAATTCCTAGGGCAACCAATAGTCTACAGTCTCCTACAGTCATGCAACAGTTAAAGACAGGGATACTTTTTGAGAAATGTGACAGGCAATTTCCTTTTTTGTGTGAACATCACAGAGCACTTACGCAAACCTAGATGTTATAGCCTACATGCTACACTTTTATACAGCTGGCAGTAAGGTAGGTTTGTAAGCGTAAGCCTTACCTTTGGCTTTTCCTTTTGTAAGGCAAGTAACTGACTGAGGCATCCTTTTCAAGAAGGTTATCTCTAATAAATACACTGCCAGCCACAAGACTAGGTAAAGGGCAAGGTCCCCTCCCCACCTATGGCTCCTTTGTTTTAAAGACCTTGATTTCCATGACAGATAATTTGGCCTACTTGTTTTTTGTTTGACCTTGCTGCATGCCCCCTGGCATGCCTTGTACATTCCAGGGCCTACAAGTAAAAACTTTTATTTCTTCAGTTTCCTAATGGTTATTGCTGAAGGGCATCTTGCAATGTAATCAGAGCTGCCAAGGATAGGTACAGCAGTAAAACTGGTTGAGAGGGAGAAGTCTGTGAGAAGCTCACTGGTGCCCAGATGAGTGCCCCAAGCATTTCCGGCTGATGGCAGTACTATCTGGACTTAAACCAGCACAAAACTGTCATTCATTGTGCCTTGATCACTTTAGGAAAGCTATACCTGTCATTAGGCCATAGGAATTTTTCAGTCCCCTTATAATCTTCTGGGATCACTGTCATACAAGCGGTCCCTCACACTGTTATGTAGTACAAGACTATAAAGACATACAAAAAGTTATTTACCAAATTTAACATGCATACACAGAAAGTAACTCAAGAATAGTAACTTAAGTGTATTAACAGTCCATGATCTACCTGTGTAGATTTTTAAAACATTGTCATCATATCATTAAATAATTTTACCTGCATTATACAAACTCAATCTTGAGGTTAAATTCTTTCGCAAGACATTGGTACACTTACCTCTGCAACATTAGTATGCTCATCTATTGAAACAAATATCTTATAGAGCAGAGTTTCAAAATAATCACCTTGCACTCGATTCATTACAAAACCTTCCAGAGGAGGAACTAAAATAAACAAAATTGACTGTTCTCAGTGATACAATTTTATAAAACAAGAAAGTGTAATTCAAATATCTATTTAAAAAGAGAAACCTCCAACTTAAACACTGAATTCAGCTTTTGATTTATTTTATCCACTTAAGTTTTCTAAGACTTTCAAAGTTAAGGCCACATACAACTCTGTCTAGAGAGGATTCTCATGGTACAGCATAAATCCTACGACGAGTCATTTAATCCCCATGGCCCTCTCAACAATTCTGAGGCAGAGGAAATACTAGAGAACATGGACTTGGTAGGAAGGCGAGGGGACTGGGGCTGCTTCAGAATGGGGAAGGCTGAAAAGTAAAGGACTCTGAGTTGCTATACTACACGAAAACTGGGGGGACATAAAGTACCTCTGCCTTTCTCCCATCCCATCTAGAGAAAAGGGGAAATTCACCTGCATGACTGCCACCATTTACTAGCAATCAGCAGTATAATTTGTTCTTGGGGGCTTTCTATTCTGTATCCTCCTCAGTGGCAACAGGACAGACCTTCTGCAGCATAAGAGGCTGCCCAGTCTTTGCTCTCCACCTGAACGTTTATTCATACTCACTTGTTTCCATCTCTTTGGTCCAGATGCTCTAATCCAATTTAATAGAGTGCTCTGCCCAGCTAATAATCAAGAGGCACTACACTTTCCACTGCCATTCTCTGCTATGAGCACATTTCCCTTGAAAATATTCTGGGAAGATGGAGTGCCTAGGCCATAGCAGAAGTTGGGTATCCCTGTGTTCCCTGGGCCCTAATGCCATCTAATTGCACCCCAAACCTAAATTATTCCCAATGGAGAAAATAAGATAAAATTCAAGTGGTCAAAATGAAGATATTGTGAAAAATCACAATGTACTTTTCAGGATATAGGTTCTTCACTTCCGACCCATATTTCCGGTCATCCAAGTACTGTTGAGGATCAAAAGTTTCTTTCTAGAAACATTTTAGAAATCTCATATTTGATATAATTCTTTTCCTATACTATCAGCCGTGTAATGACTAGTGATGGCATACATCTAGTGAACACTTACTAAGTCCCAGGCCACTGCCAGGTATTTTCCATATGCCATTTCACGTAATCCTCTTAACACTGTGAGTTGTTCAATACTATATCCCTATCTTAGAGATGAGGAGACCAACGCACTAAACGGTTATAAATACAAGATTTATATCTAGGCGAAAAGGTTGAGGCAACACTACATTAAGAGAGATGGAATACTCTCCCAAATATATTGTTTTAATAAAAAGTATGAACTAGAGTATACAATCTGTATAAAAATAAAACCACACAAAAAAGGATATATATGTATATGCCTATGTGTGTAGTATACTTCTGGAAGAACATACAAGAAACTTAACAGTGGCTGCTGAGAAAGAAACTGGGTGGCTAGGAACAGGGCTGGGAGGCTAATGTTTTTACATTTTATACTCTTTTGTAAATTTAGAATTTTATATCATAATATTATCTACTAAAAAAAAGTTAATAAAAGTAAATAAATATAAAGGAAAAAAACCTAGGAAGAGCCTAGGTGTTTGTACCACCTAGAAAGTTATAAAGAAAAGACACAAGGAAGGCCTGGCTGTACCTAATATTAAAGGTTACTCTAGTTCGCTGTAATACAAGCAATACAGACTAAGAATAAAAACAAATAAGTGAAAAAAAGGATGTGAGAATTAACCAATATAGAGGGAAATTTAAAGTATGACAAAAATTATGCTTCCATTCAGTGGTAATGAGTTACTGAAAAAACAGTGCTAGCATTTATCCAAATGCGATTGGTTATCCAAACAGAAGAAAACCAAGTTGGATCCTTATTTCACATAAAACATGAAAATAAGTTCCAGACTATGGGTTTGAATATATGACAAAAGTTTTTAAGAATTTTTAGATGATCTATATATTCTAGAAGAACTCTATCCAAGCATAATGAAAATCTAGATGTTACATAGGGTAGATATAAAATGTACAAGTATAGAGTGTGATGAAATAAATATATTTTATTTAGCAACAGACCCTTTAGTGATTATTCCCTTCAAAGTATTTCTCTCCGCACACTGTTCTGTTCCACTACCCGTAGTGCTTGTTTTTTACTGAAACTTATCTGGACTGCTTCCTTTGAAGTCACCTTCGGGTGTCCTTTGTGCTAAATTTGATGTTTCCATGTTATCAAACTCCTTTCCTTTCACAGGTCATTCCAATTTGGGAACAGCCAGGGGTGGCATGGTGAGGAGGGTGAATTCAGCAGATATAATACCAAGGGTCTTGCTTATACCATCTAGACTCCCAGACACTAAGTGAAATGTGGCAGAACATGGCCCTATCATAGAGAAGCCATCCACTCCGCCCTTCTCTGATGCTTCTTTGCAGTGAACTTGGTGCTAATGCGAGTCAGTGTTCAAACTGCTAATCAGAACAGACGGAAATCAACTAACCAAAGACCAATCTTTTCTGAGTGGATCACAAGTGAGACAGCATCAGTTTATCGAATGAGAGTAGGGCCTAGAATATTCTCCAATGGTGACAGGAAACCACTGCCCACTCTGTCCTCCAGAAATCACTTCCTTGTCGAGACTAGTATTTTAAAACTAGTATTTTAAAACTAGTCTTTCATTTGTTGTGGCATCCACGAACCAGAATTAGCATTTCCTTTACTTTTTCAGCTGTCTTCCAGGTTTACAACAGAATTCGTGTCTGTACGCTGTTCAATACACATCATTAAAGAATCATAAACACATAATAACGCAAATAAAGATCAGGACACACCAGAGCATGATAACCTGTCAAGTTCCAGCACTGATATGAGGGAGTCTTTTTGTAATAAGCCTTCTCACCACTCAATTGTTAATAGTGAGGTTATTCTCTGGAATTTTTTGACACTTTCTATTTGATTACACTAATATTAAATATCTTGGTATGGTAAAAGATACCACGAATCATAACAGTTAGAAGATATGCTAGAAAACATACTTGTAACATATAACTTAAATATCACAAGTGCTTCTATAAACTGGTAAGAAATCTAATCTATAGGAAATAAGCTCCACTTTGTGTTAAGGATGTTAACCACATCATTATCATAGCAAAAACCTGGAAATAATCTAAATGACCAGCAATAAGGGAATGGTTTAATAAACTGATACCTCCACAAGGGCCTTAACTTGGGGAAGTGGGTAAAATAGAAAGGGAGGAGATAAACACAAAGATGGCAGTGACAAAAATATAAAGCACAGATAAGTGAGAGTGGAAATGATGTAATGCTATATTACTGAATACACGTAAAAATGTGATGCACTGAACAAGGACTAACAAGTGACATAAATTTATAAAAACAATAATTCAATTTGGGATTGTGAGAAATTTATCTCAGACTTTATTATTTTAATATAGTGCATACGCCAAAATAACGTAAAAATAAAAATACAGAATTTAAGTAAAACCACCACAATGTGTTACAAAGTAACGAGAAGAAATGTATTTCTTTAAAAAAATTCTAACATCCAAGATCCTAGAACGATTTGTGTCTAACTCAGAGGGTGATATGCAGTGCCCAGCACAATACTGAAAAATATTAGCACATACTTACCTGCTATACAACTGTCATCAGATATTGGTACATCCAGATATATAAATCCTTTGTTATATAAACCTAGAGAAGAAAAAGTACTTTGTTTTAGACAGAATACTAAATATCTGTAATTAAAAAAATGATTCTTGATTATCTGTAAAGGTTCTTGCAACTGAATGCTATATGAAAAAGAAAAAAGCAAAACAGAATTAGGAAAGAATTATATTAAAGTTTTCAAATCTTGTTTCCTTCACGTGCTTAAAAATATAAAATTTTTCTTATGATTCATTTGTATAAATTTCTAATGTATATGACTAATTACAGCCATCTTGGAAAACAATGAACCAAGGTCACCCTTCAAACAATAACAAATGTTTAGAAAATACTACTATTTTTACCTAATTGATAAATAACTATTAACTGTCAATGGCTTAAAACAAGTTTTTATGTTGACAAAGACTGTTTCTACTAACCACTTACTATGTACTACATTGTAATCTAGTGATCCAGAGAGTTGAGGGCCTGCATCGATGATCTTATCAACAGCGCATTTCTCAGGCAAAGTGCATATCTAAGAAAAGCAAAATATTTTCAATTAACTTTTGTCCAAATTAACTAATTCATGACTCCTCAAATCTATTCATGTCTAAACCAATGATTACGTATCATTTGTTGAATAAACTATGTATTTTTTCCATTTACTACTCTAGAATTCTAACAAAAAAAGCTACACACATAACCATCAACTAAGGTACTAAAAGATGCTACCAACAGAACCTAAGAGAACAAAGTAACTATATCAATACTTGCGGGTAAGTAATGGGTGTTCACTAATAAGTACCAACATTTACCCATCTTCTTTGAATTGGTATCTGGTCCATTTGTGATTTTGAACCTTTCAAAAATGAAGTTTATTCCAACTCCACATGATCATTATCAGTAACGAGAAGTTCTCTAGCTTATAACACAATCTGACAGCTCTGTTAGGAAGTACTTAGTTAGACTGAAGCAAAATTTCTAAGCCTTTCACTCACCGGATTCAATCTGTCTTCTGGGGTAAAATAAAATGCAAAGAAACAAAAAAGTCCACATGCTCACTTACATTTCTTCAGCCTCACAAAGATGTGACCTGCTCTCTAGGGCCCTTTCCTGTAAATCAACATCTCTTCTAAAATGCATAAGGCTTATATCAAACGTGCTCTAACCACTGGGAATACCATTTCCCTTGACCTTGACATCATCGCCCTATCAAAGCACCTACCACTTTGGTACAGCTGTTCGGCACAGTCCTTAAGAACTCAGGATCCACAGCAAACTGCCTGCGTTAAAATACTAGACCTTTACTACTGCTATGACTTGAGCCATCGCTTCATCTCTCGGTGCTCACTCTCCTCATATGGGAAATGAGGTACAAATAATACATACCTCTGGGGTTATGAGAATTAAGAGACACTATAAAAAGCACCTGGGATAGTGCCTGACACACCTGGCACACAGCGAGTGCTCACATGGCATTAGCCAACACTGTTGGTAGCCACGGCGCTACGTCAGTTCACATGAGACAACTACCTAACTAAACTCTCCTGGTTACTGAACATGAACCCAGTCAAGTCTCCATCATTATTAAAAAGTATCTGGGAAACCCATCAATATTCTAGCCTACTAAGATCATTTTAAATTTTGAATTTGTTTAATTTTCTTCAGGAAAATCAAATAGTGTTATTTTTTAAAAATTACAGAACTATAATTAAAAATGATTTTTAAAACAAAAATCCTATGTTTAACTTTTCGAGATAACTACCTTTATGTCATCTTCTGTGATATACGCAGCCTGCACCACCCACCACGCCTCTATGGCAATTTCCACTGGCTTCACTGGTAGAAGATCACGGGCCGTTTTCCTTCTGAAAAATTTCTGCAATGGTAAAATTTGCAATCAATTTAAAATCACTATTTTCTTTTTCATCAATCATATAATAAGACTGTTTCTAACAAGCTAAATATCTTTTTAAATTCTCATGTTTTAAACTCTGTTATTCTAGATACATTAGATGGAGAAAGTCATACTGCAATTATTTCAAAATAAATTTCTTCAAACACTCATCGTTAAATCTGGATCTAAATCCAGAAACTAAAATGAAAACCAGGATGTCCAAATGCATTTGAAAATGCATACTCGCTTCACCCATTAAGTGAAAACTAGGAGCAGAATGAGCAAAAGACCAGCAGAACAAAATTAATTTTTAAAAACAAATTAAATGTTTTATGTCTTTGACAGTTTTAATTCAATAATCACTTAAGCTATATCCTAGAGAATACTGAGTTGTTTTGCACTGTTTCTGTATTAGGCGTATTTTATTTAATCAGAGAAATTACAATTCATTATTTCTATCACTTAAAAAAAATTTATCTAGGGCAAGAAACGAGAAAAGGAAATGACTAACTTACTTTTGATGATCTACACTGATTCATCAGATCAATGTACTGGTTCCTTCCTATGCCGAGAAGCCTTAGACCTGAAAGAAAAAGCCTTTCCTTCAAAAGCATTTAACACATCTTGAAATGTCAGTACTTTCACAAGTCATTCAGGAAAAAAACCCTTGGCTTTTGTTCATCTTTTGATCACTGACTGACAACCAATATCAAATTAAAAGGAATTCTTCAAATAAAATATAAATGAAAACAAAACAAATGAAGTCAAGCTGACACTTTTGACAATGCTAAATGAGAAAATTTTTTAAAAGCAGAAGTCCTCCCAATTTCAGAGTGTCAAAGTGCACTTCTCAGGGGAATTTTCTTACACAACAGAACTATGCCACACTTCATTAAAATAAGCATAATCTAACATCAGCAAATTATATTAGGAACAACTATGTATCATGCTGTAAAAGTATTGTACACAAGTTTCCTTTCTTCATTTGGTAAACAGCACAGCCCAAGTATCAGAAAACACTTCATTCTCTAGAAATATATAGACTAGTCCTATTATTCTGATTCTATCACTCCAAAATAGTCCTCTTAGACATCTAAAACTAAATCTTACACTAGATTTGCATCATCTGATAAATCTCCCATCAATGATGTTGCGTGCTGTTCTCATCTTTCAAGTGTTAAAGGTTAAAAACACACATTACAATACTGACATGAGAGCATACATGCACAAACATACTCTAAACATTACCTCCTTCAGCATAATTAAATACTTACAGTCAGCAGCAGTAAAATTGGGCAAAGAATCATAACTTTTCTCACTGTTCATAATGTCCTTTTTAAAAGAAAAATAATAAATTTTAAATGCAAAATGTCCTCAGATAAAAATAAGTATATAAATACATATTCCTATAAGCCAAATAGAGAAACGATAATTATCACATGAAACACTGAAATAAGAGTTTGGCAATCTAAAGTATGCATGCCAAATAGTGGCACTTACCACATGGTCTCAACCTAGTAAATGAAGATCAGACTTTCAGGCCTGGGTGTCTCATAGCACTCTCTATGAATCGTAGACAGTTACCCTATAGCTTCTGCCCTGTGGAAGCTATGCAAGGAACATAGACCTCAGGCTTCTCGCCTCTCCACACATCATACCTGTTCCTAGACTCCTACCCTGAGAACAGGCCAAATAGTGTGTCGCAGCTCCATCAGCACACGTCTAAGACATACACCACCACCAAAGCTTCTAACCACTAGGAGCCATCTTTGCTCCTAGGAATCCCAACTAGGACAGAGTTAAACTCAGTATCCAGCTTCTTCCATTTGTTTTTCCAATAAACAACAAACTGCTTACTGTGGCGATAAGGCCCATTTTCAACCCAGAAGCTATACCCAATGGTATAAGAACAGAAACTAGACAGCAGCAAGCACATAACTGAAAGCTGATAAATGAGACAAAACCACTCTCTCTTATCTCTCCCAAACCTATGGACAACACTAGAAAAATAATCAAAGAGACAACAACAACTATTCTACTCACTGAGTAGTGGCCACCTTCAATATGCTACTCTGAGTCTCAGGAAAGGGACTGGCAGAAACCTAGGCTGTCAAGTCTCAAGCTTTACTTTGTATTTCCTCCAAAATAGGGACACAGCAGATGGGACTGGAGAAGGGCCCATGAAGAAGGGGCTTAATGAGATAAGCAAAGGGAGCTCTTGCAAAGAAGCCACATCATAAAGGGAACGAATAACACTGTTCCTACAGGTTCTCAACTGCTTTAGTCCTAGACTTCTCTCTGCTCTTAGTGAGCACAAAACAGCAGCATTAAAATATAACTAAGTAGCAAATGATTAACAGATAAATACTGCCAATTTTCACATACAGCTCACTTAAAAAGAATAACTGGTATTTAAAGTTATTCAACAGAGGCCTAAAAACTACCTTTGGAAAAAGGTTAATATTTGAAAGTTAATAATTATAGAAAGATCAGCAGCCAGGGCTAATGTAGTTCTCTTTTTCTGACACCTGTATTAAATAACATTAGTTCTATACCATCGTTTATTCTTGCTACAGTTAGTAAATAAATACATTAAGCTTCTCTGAGCTTAATATTCAGTTCTGTCACCCACATTTTCAACCTTAATTGTGTATTAAAAGCAATAAATTTTATACACACTCTGCTAACATAAATGACTGATTAATGTTACAAAAGCACAGAGGAAGTAAGGCTTTCAAAAACATAGAATAGACACTTTTCCACTGTGAAAACATTCATAATGACAACTTCTTGTTCGAGTGTGGCTAAAACTGTTAACTTGTAACCATCAGACCTTTTTACACTGTAAACCGAGAAACAATGTCCACTGTGGCTGAGAGTTGCAGAGCTGGTCCTCCTCTGCAAAGTGTCCCTGACATGTAAACCCATCCCATTCCTAATGGTTCACATACACCGTAAACTTGTAAACTCACCTCCATAATCCCAGTATAATATGAAAATGGTGTTATCCTCAGGCCCTTTACCATAATATCCGATAGATGGTAAGGGTACAGCATGAGATGATCTCGGCTATATTTTAGTAGTTCCTCATAGTATTTACGTTCTTCTTTCTTGACATGTTTAACTGGGGGAAAGAAAAAAATTCTCTAGTTTTATCAGGTGTCTTATACTTACATACGATTATAAATGCAATGAGAAATACTTTACAAACAAATACAATTAACAAGAAAAGTATGTAAACTGGAAGAGAATAAATAAAATAATCTAAGTAAGAACAAAGGAGCAATTATACCACAAGGAATGAACCTCAAAATATATAAGTAAAATGTAAAATAGGGCAGATAAGTAGAGAAATAATTCTTAGCAAATCAAAAAGCAAAGAAAGCAAGCATGGAATGTCTCTTCCAAAGTACAAAACATAAGCTACAATTCACCCGATCCCTTACATGTCACTTTACAAGACAGCCAACTCGAATGGGAGTTTTCTATAAAATCAAGTCTATTTTTTAAAATTATTTGCTGGATTTTGATTTAAATGTAAAAAGTCCTCTGACTTACATGGACTGCATTTCAATAGAAAACCTATCTCTGAAATACTATGCTTAAAATAAGAGTAGCACATGGGAGGGCAGATTAGCAAGGCAATAGAATAATCAAAATAATCTAACAAATAAAAAGAAAACATTAAAAATAGAAGTTTAAAAGAAAACATGGAACTAACTATGCTTAAAATTTGTTCCAATTATTACAGAGTTTTCATTTAAGTTACAGTATTTGGAAAATTTACGGAGACAAAAACAAAATTCAAAGTCAAAAATTATTTAGCATAATGTACTTCTATTTTGGCATATTTTCTCATCTAAAGTAAAAAGAGGACATCTAAATCAAAGTTAATATTCTACAGGTAAAATAAAACTTCAAACAATACTCTAAAAAGTAATTATGATCAGAATTAGAAAAATCTCGCTAACGCAAATTGTTCTTAGGTAGGATGAGTCCACATAGAGTTTCTTAAAGTCGGTATACAGAATAATTTCAACACAATGAAATATGTGCTGAAAAGACAGAACTTACAAAAATAATTCAGCAATAGTCTTCCATCTCAATGTGAAAATGTCTCTACTTACCTAAGTTATTTTTATATCGTAACTGATTACGGATACTGTACAGGACAACCTGCTTTTCATATTCTCTCTGTGAATTTCCCAGACTCTAAAAAAAGAAATTTTAAATAGATTTAAAATAGCTTCTAAACTAAACAACAGTACATTTTACCCCATAAAATTTCAAAACCTTGCCCCCTTATTTTGTCCCAGAATCTCAAATTTCCAAAACTGAATGAAGAAGACTTTTTAAATATTATAGTACTAACTTTCTGCTTTGGTTTTAGAGCAAAAATTCAATGTGTTTATTTTCAGTCTGCCATTCGAAAAGGACTTACTGAAATTATGTAAAGTATTCAATATCAAACGAAAGAGCAGTTTGAGAACATAACTTAATGAAACACTAAGTTCTACTTATAAAGATTTCCTTCCTGACTGTGCCCAATTTGTGTGTGTTGGATGGATGAAAGAATGGATGGGTGGTTTCCTGCACCTACATTTTTTAAAATTTAAGAGTGGCAACTAAGGACATATCCCTGTCTGATAATTATTTACAGCTTAGGACTATGATGATTAGAAATTAAAATTTCTAGAGAATGTACATTTCAAATGTACCTCTAAATAAGATTACTTCTTAAAAACATCATCTCCTTATAATCTCATTAGCAATCATTTAGACAATTTTAGAATTCCAATATATTTTTAAAGATCCAAACACTTTCTAGCTGTGTACTTAGTACTTTAAGCTCAAGGTTGGGTTCTCATGAAAGCAAAGAATACGTATGCCTGATTATAGTCAATATTATATTCAACCACAAACAATTTAATATATGACTGCTGTCCTCCTTCTAATTACTAGGTACCTTTCCAATGTGCTATAAAACAAAATTAGACAATTTAGGAGACTAATGAAGGAAAGATCAGAGGATTCAATTATACTTCTTACTCATAGGCTTTTTCTTATTCATAGCCAAGGTAAATGTCCACACACACTTCCACTTAGAGCAAACTTCACAAAACAGATGAAACTCACATCTAAATAAACTGGCACATAACTGGAACCACTAGTAGATAGTAATTTAAGAAAAAGGGGATATGATGTGAGAAAAATAAAAATCTTTCTGTAAGTAGATTGGTTTATCAGATTAAACCATAACTCACATTACTTCTGGAAATGTATGTGCTTATATTATTTTCATCTATTTTAACATTACAAGTAGTTAGAAATAAAGTTCACCGTAGAGAAACTATTCTACCATCTTTTGTACTAAAGCAAAACCAGGGTCAATACTGAAGATACTTAGGGGACTTGAAATATGAGGCTTTCTATAAATCTTTTAAAGGGCTTCCTCTAACTCTAATGCCAAATAAAAGTCTCTGTCTCAAGAAACACAAAACACACACACACAGCAGACAGGTTGCTAAAATCTTAACTTCCAAATCTGAGGATTTGCTCTTCTGTTTCAAGGTAAGTCCTTTCATTTATCCTAACTTACAACCATTTTCTCCCTTTTAAATGCCATTCCTGGTAACTCCAGAATAAAAAGTGTAAATCAAACCACTCATACGAAATATAAGGATCCATTATTTGTAAGCTAATTAGAGAATACACTATCAATTAAACATTTAAGTCTTTGCACCTAGGCATTAAGTAATGACTGGTCCTGATAAATACACGTGTGTGCACGCATACTAAGAACCAAGTTAAAAGTTGATTTCATTCTTCACTTCTCACCCATATAAAATATAACTGCTTTGTTCACAAAAATATTTTGGCTTCCCTCCCACTTCTACTCAAATTTCCTACCATTCACATTTTAAAACACTGTTGCCACTACAAGAGGCAATTAAAGAAAGGTCATTTTACTCTCGGACAGTGCTGCCCCTGCAGAAATACTGACCAGGTCTGATAAATGAAGGTGGGCTGCATATAAAACAGATAAAGGAGTGACAGGGACTGGCTGTAAAACACCCACTGTGCATCAGATTATGCTAAAAGCACAAAGATTTTTTTCTAAAGCTTTTGCTCCTACAAACTCCAACCCCAGGGTGCACAGGCCCCCAAAGAATATACACAAAATTTTTTAAAAAATTCTTGGATTATACAGAACGTCATCAAAAGATTTAATAAAATAAAACAACTATGAATTATTTTGAACAATGAATACAAGCTACTGGTAAGATATATATATATTTAAAAAAAAAAAACCCTGAAATAATGACTGTATTCACAACTTTCTAATGTATTTTTTAAAGTCTAGTATAAATATATATATGCCTTACTGTTAAAGTGTACAGCTGAAATTTACTGGATTTTGCTAACCGATGTCATCATAAAAATATAAAAATAATTGAAAAAAATTTTTAAAAATGAAGTCTAGTATAGCTCATATCACATAAACATATTTCATCACATCCAAATAAAAATAGGTGTGAACAACAGTTTGAAACAATAGCCTGAAATACATTTTTTTAAATATCTGTATCACCTTCCCGCGGCTTTCAGAACTGGGAAATATGAGTAATTTCCAAATTAAACGCCATCAAAACGATTACTGGAAACTCTACCAAAGTACTTAGTATCTTTAAGGCCAAAAACCAAATTCTTTCCATACAAGGAATATTCTCCACTTTTAAACTGCTTGAGCTTTAATTTAGCTCCTGGAACAAAAATCTCAGACTGATGCCATCACTCATTCACTCCAAAAATATTTACTATAAACTATGTGATAGGTGCTCAAAATACAAAAGCAAAACAAGTAAGAGAACCAGAAAATGCAACATAATGGGGTAAGTGCTATGAGTGGGAAATACAGTGCTAGGGTAATATATCTGAGAGTCAACTGCTCCAGATTTAGGAAGCTGGGGAAATCTTCCTGAAGGAGTTCATATCTGAGATTCAAAAAGAATTTACAAGTAATCTGTAGGAGACAGGTGAGTAGTGACAACCGAGTCTGCATTTTAGAAACCTCACCCCACTGTAGTATAAAGCATGGATGAGAAGGTCCTAGTCAGAGGGCAAGTGACCAGTGACAGGGAGCTGACACAGTAATCCACGTGGGGCCTGACCTGGGGCAAGTGGCAAGGCTAGAGAAAGGCTTCACAAGTAACTTGTACAGATGGGCTTTGCAACACCTTCTCCAAGCGGAAGCTTAACCTAAGCGAAAACAGCTACTCTTTTAAGTGATCTTACCAAAAAAGTTTTCTTAATTTAACGTCACATTTGAACCTAATTTTAACACTATTCTGTGATTATCTTTTTTTATTGTACGACTAGGTAAATTTATTTTCAATTACACTTACAGTCAATATTACTTTAAATTAATTTTAGGTATACAGCATAGTGGTTAGACATTTATATAACACGAAGTGATTCCTCCAGATTAGTCTAGTACCCACCTGACACTACACAGTTTTCACATTATTAACTATATTCCCTAAGCTGTACTTTACATCCTCGTTACTATTTTGTAACTACCAATCTGTAGTTCTTAATCCTTCCACCTTTTTCACCCAGCTCCTCAACCTCCCATTCCCATCTGGAAACCATCGGTTTGTTCTCTGTATCTATGAGTTCGTTTGTTTTGTTTATTCATTTATTTGGTTTAGATTTCATATATAAGTGAGATCATATGGTATATGTCTCTCTGACTTATTTCACTTAGCCTAATACCCTCTAGGTCTATCCATCTTGTTGCATAGTAAGACTGAGGTTTAAAAATGTTTTCGCCAATACTAATGAAGGTCAGCTACTCATGTTGGACATAATTGAATCATCCATCTTTCTTCCTTACACTACATTTATTTTTGTGAAAGGAACAGTATAGAAAAATGGGAACAAAGAAAAGAAAGATTGTTGGTTCTTCCAGTTGTCTTAGGATATGCCACAAAACCCTAAAGAACAAAGGTGTCCATCAAAGCCTTCATTCAAGCTTAACAAGAGAAAGCATTCTTTCAGGTTTAGAGTTACATTCTTCCAGGTCAAGCTAAATGCTACAGAGGCAGCCACTGACAGCCAAGAATTCTGAGTTCCTTAAATTTATCGACTTTCCTGTTTTCTTGGTATCTCAAAGTGAAAGCATTTTCTCTGCCACATGATGCACTGCCAAACCTTAAATTATCCATTTCCTAGAACTAAAATAAACCCCCAAACTGAGAGAAGAGGCAAAGTAATAATCCTTAAACCATCACCATCCAAATTTTCCAAATGTAACTGCCCTGCACCAATGGAAAACAGAAATTCACCCTCAACCAAGTAGAATGGGAAGAACTTGAAGGTTAATCCATGATCAGAGAAACACTACTTAATGTATCACTATCTTCATAAGGTTTTACACCACCTGCCATGTTACGTATTTATTCACTTGTTTACTATCTTTCTTCACTGAAATATAAGCTCCATGAAGACAGGGTCCTTTGTCTTGTTGACTGCTGCAAATTACCTCACCTAGAACAAGGCATAGCATGCAGTCGGTGTTCCACAAATATTCGTTAAACAAGTAAAACAATCTCAGACAAAAATCTCATGTCACTCTTACTGAAACATCTCTAACAAACCCATCTTGTCTAGAGGATAAAGTCCAACAAAACAAAGTACAAAGCCTCTTCAAAATCTGGCCCTGACTGCTTTTCCAGTCTCATCTGCTACCATCGCGACGCACTCACAAAACCCCACCTCTGATCAATATTTCTATTACACCTCCAAACTTTGGTGATATTAAGTCGCTAGCTGCTCTCG